ATGGCATTCGTACGACGACCTTTAGTTCAGCGGATCACAGCCGACCTGGAGAGGAGCGCAAAAAAAGTCACATCACAAATCGAGGTCACCGAAAAACACTTGAATGCCAGGCATTGATGCACAAACAGAGGGATGGCGGAGAAAAGGAAGTGAAAATGTAGAGGACAGCGAATGAGGAGGAACCATGATCAAATGGGAAAGAAAAGCAAACTCAAAACATAAGAAGCTGATGGTCTCACGTTCAAAGTCAAGGAAAACTATTGGGCCATGCTCAAGTTCGGTGCAAGCCAGCAGTTTCAGGAGATTTCCCATGATCCCCCTGGAACAGAGAGAAGGGAGAAGCATGTGGGTCATGGGAGATGTGGCAGACCTGTGTCTGGTGTTGGGTGTGTGTTCGTGTGAATGTGCGTGGAGTCTGGGATGGGGGTCGGGGCGTATAGGGTGTGGGATGGACTTTAGGTGTCGAGATTCTCGGGCGATGTTGATATGGTCACATGGTCACACTGAAACTCCTTCTTGCTGCTCTCTTTCTATACATAAATGGACACGAGTGAACACAATCGTGAAGAAAGCAAAAAGAAACAGTTTCCAAAAGCAAAAAAAAAACTTCAGTCTGTCTTAATCCACCTAGAGGATGCGTCTACACCTGCTCCAACCCTGATAGCTCCATCTCCAATCACACACACATACACACATCCGAGCACACGTACACACACCGTACACCAGCGAAAAACTTACTTTCAAAATCCAGGAAAAAATGAGGACAGTTCTCTAAATCCTTGCCAAGGACCTTAATGAGGTTCCCCATGGCTGGCAAACCTGGGCAAGGAAGACAAATACATACAGTACAAAGGAATACAACCTAGATGATACTCATTAGCAAGACTCCTAGACTGTCAGTGTGTATTCACTGCAAAAACTTTTGTCATATGCTGTGGTAAGAGCCAGACTGTGCATTGCATAAAGCTGAAAAATGCTGCTAGTTTTTTCATAGGGTAAACTAATAAAAGAGGCTGTTTGTGTCTGAAATAATTCAACAAAATAATCCTTCTGACAAAGTGCTGTAACTGCTGTAATACAGTGTTTGTTGTGGGGACAGAAAAAAGTAATTTTTTTTAATCAATTTTCCTTTCTTTTCTACATTATGGCAGTGTGGTAAAAAATGAATGCATGCCTTTAAAGATGTGAATATTATGTTGTTTGTTGCAATGTAGCATTTGAATATAATACAGGAAAAGAGCAGTAATAAAAAAAAGAGATCATGACACAAACCGCACAAGCAGGAAAAAACACCTTTTGGTGGTGATCTAGCATCGTGTGACTTGAGATGTACAGTAACTTAATATAATGGTATGGTAATAGTAAATGAACTGACATTAACACTGTGTAGTAGCACATAGCTGAGGTCTGCCTGTCCTAACCAGCTGTGACTCAACGTTTATAGCAAATCTGACTGTCCATACTGAAAGCGAAAATGCTTATGTGACATGACACATTTATAGATAATCAGTCATTGTGAAGTATGATTTTGGACCAATGAGATTTCACCATGGGCGGGGCTAACCAGCTCAACATAACATAAACAGAAACTAAGTGATTGACAAAAACTCTGATTTGCTTAGAATAAATGTTTTTTGCTGCTTGTTGCTTTATTGCATTGCATTTGGTTAGAATATAATTCAACATAACCATCATAACCATTTTGTTTGTTAAATCAGTTTGCATGCACTAAATATCAACTGCAGTTGGCAAAATAGTACAAATAGTACAAATAAAAGCTTGCAATAGAGGAACAATTCTGGACAGACTAGTATATAGAAACATTCAAGAAATAAAATAGCTAGATTATCGTGGCACTGATGATAACACAAAACCTATCATGGCATTTCCCAAGAGACACAAATGTGCATATTGGCAGTGTTCGAAATAAGAATCTGGCTGTTACATATCTAGGCTTTTAAATCTTTCATATCAAGCCATATCCTTCGCTTATGGCACACAACGCAAAGATGGCTCCTCTCAGCCTGTTTATCACTTAAGAGGCAATATATCCCGCTCTGCCTGTCTCCTGGCAACCACCAGTAGAGCCCTGTTTCCATGACTGGACCACATCCCCTCTCCCGCCTGTACTCTCTCTCTATCTGAGGCTTTCATCATCAAAATCACCAGCCAAATCCTAGTCTAAAGTATATAACAGTCTTTCTTTCTGCCTATATGTCTATGTCTGTCTGTCTGAATCTGTCTGTCTGTCTGTCTCTATCTGTCTGTCTGTCTGTCTGTCTGTCTGTCTGTCTGTCTGTCTGTCTGTCTGTCTGTCTGTCTGTCTGTCTGTCTGTCTGTCTGTCTGTCTGTCTGTCTGTCTGTCTGTCTGTCTGTCTGTCTGTCTGTCTGTCTGTCTGTCTGTCTGTCTGTCTGTCTGTCTGTCTGTCTGTCTGTCTGTCTGTCTGTCTGTCTGTCTGTCTCTGTCTGTCTGTCTCTGTCTGTCTGTCTGTCTGTCTGTCTGTCTGTCTGTCTGTCTGCCTCTGTGTGTCTGTCTGTCTCTATCTGTTTGTTTGTTTGTTTGTCTGTCTGTCTGTATGTCTCTTTCTATCTGTCTGTCTGTCTGTCTCTATCTATCTGTCTCTGTCTGTCTGTCTGTCTGTCTATCTATCTATCTATCTATCTATCTATCTATCTATCTATCTATCTATCTATCTATCTATCTATCTCATTCCAACAGAAGCTCTCACGTAAACCTCAGATCCATCAATCTTTTGTCTCCCCAAAGTTCTCACTGAAAAACTGAAACTGTCAACCAATAATTAATCTTCCGTATCTGTCACATCAACAAAAAGCATACAGCTTGACACATATGACTGTCCTTTACTTACCAGCCAACAAATGTTTGCCTTCCTTCTTCCGACTTCCCTTAATAAAGCCTCACTGTGCTAGTCCTGTCAGTTTTCCACTCCTATCCGAGTCTGTTCCTCCGCTGTACTCCTCCTCCAGAGCTGTCCCTGAACCCAGCTGTGAAGAGTCCGTCTTAATGCGGCTGGTGCCGTACAGCCCCACAGGAACCCTCTCAGCCTTACCAACGGTCCCCTCTGCAGCTCTGCGTTCAACATCGCTCTGCTCTTTTCACACTTCTCTTTTTCTGACAGCTATTTAAAGGCAGGGCTTAATTTAAAAGAGCCTGGTGAAACTGTTTCTCTGTGGTACCATTATACATGTATGCTTGGTTAAGATAGGGTGAGAGGTTAAAGAACTGCTGGCTTATACTAGTGCAGGGCTTTACCGATAGCTTGAGCTCTCTAGCTGCAGTTTCCTGTGTACAAAACGTATCCTCTGCTGAATTTAGAATAACACAGTCATCGATTTGTGCTCTGTAGTAAAAAAAGTACCTAATCTTTTGTAGTTTTTGCTATTTTCTGGATTAAAATGATCTGTGATATCAAATTTTTTGTTTGGGCTAAAGTGAAAAAGAGGAAATTCATTAAAGCAGACTTTGTAGAAATAAATATTGAGAACAGAGCCCCAGTGTACTTAGTTATAAGGAAGTGACCCTGGTGGCAGCTTGTTGGGCCGACCAAAAACGGATCGCAACTGTCTGAGACAGAAACTAGAGCAAAAACTTGTGCTTACACAGCAATATCACACTGTCCCTTTCTGATCCGCTCAGACTAGTCCAGACCTGACCAAGGAAATGCATATTTATTGTAATGTCACTTCCAGGAAGTTGCATAACTTTAACACTAAAGCTTTTGTCTCAAATCTGTTGGTTTCATTACTGCATAAAGAGATGAATGGCAGACTGCACTAAATAAGCACGGCTTCAAAGATGGAAACTAATATCTATAAATGTTTCTGCATGGCATCTGCTAATAGGCTATTTTTGATTGGAGTTGTGACTCTGCTGTTTGTGCTGAAACCGATGAGAAAATCTGCGCCATCACAAAGTGGGCAGACAGAATGCAGTTGCTGTCAGACAATTTTTTTACCTTGTATTTTCACATCTTTTTCTCATGCATGGTGCCATATGGCTTGACGAATAGGGATGCATTGTTTTTGTTCCATACCTTTGCTTGCGATTTTCCACACGGAGCACTTCACTGCATCAAATGAGAGCCTTTATGTTTCTCCTGCAGTATCACAGCATCAGCCCCCGCTACCTGAGAGAAAGAATGAGAAATAAAGAGATGGTCAGATTAACATGTTTCAGAAAAAAGGCTCAGAATGCGAACAACATGGCATCGCATTTTTCCTGCCAAAATCTCTCCATATGTTTTGAATTGTTGCTTAAGAGATAATTAAGCCTTTTAGGATAAATTTTTTTTCTATTAATGACATTATTTTCATGACCGCTATGCAAACCTCATCAAATCCTTATTACCGTAATTTAAAAAAAGCACAAACAAATTGTATTCTTATTTCTGAGAACAAGATTAGAGCAACCCATTAATGCAAATACACATATTATACAAACTATGAAACACCTATTTTAAAATTCTCATAAAAAATTGAGAATAATAGGACTAATGAAGTAATTTGAAAGAAAATTGTCAGAATTAAGAAAATGTATATAATGGCTCTATAGGCTAGCAGTACTTATTTTCTTTAGGCAGTCTTTGTTAAATATTTGTTACCTGCACAGTGTAATAACTGGTCACTGAAACTTATATTAATTTATGGTTATGGATGTGCTTACATACAGTGGCTTGTTTTAAAGCGGTCAGTCAGGCAAACAATATAGTGATAAACCTCTGGGGAGGGATTCATGGGATACATTCGACAGGTCACAATCTGATTCATTTCTTGAATGGCACGGCCAGCCACCAATCTATCATCACACACACCCAGTATCACCCTCCAAATAAAGAGGCATGTAAACAGTTAGCTCAATGCATTATGCGGCAATGTCCCTCATAAATCTGAGGCAGTGTGCAGCATCATGCAGCACACAAAGCGACCTGCTCACTGCAGTGACTTTATGACTGATATGATCCTTCTTCATCTAAAATGACATCTGGGGATCATTTACCACACTAACATGATATAAACTGACTCAGGATCAGTTCTACTGTATAGTTCCACTGAAGTGTGTTCATTTTAGATGTTAAAATACACAGCTTAATGTGCAGAGACAAATAAGTACAATTTGTAGGTTCATTTCACCTAAAAATGTAAACACAATGTATATGTCATTGAATCTACCAATAAAATTACTCTTTACTTTAAATAAAATTAGGTACACTGATTATGAAAATGTTTACACTACCGTTCAAATGTTTGGGTCGGTAATACTTTTTGAAAGAAGACTCTTATGCTCACCAAGGCTGCATTTATTCGATCAAAAATATAGTAAAAACTGTAATATTGTGTAATATATATAATATGCTACGGTAGCTAACTAAAATTAAAAGTGAAACTAAAATTAAAACCATAAAAAAACGTTACTTAGAATATTAAAAATTATTTTTAAATTGTATTTAATTTATCTTAACTTGATGCACTAAAACAACTAAAACTTAAATGAATAATTAATAATTATAATAGAAACTCTCTCTAAACTCAAAATGACAAAACACAACAAAAATGACAAAAAATTGACTAAAATATAAAATTAAAAAATGATTCACAATATTAATAAAAAGTTATAGTTTCTCAGTGATACTATAATTGTTGTTTTTTTTTCAATATATTTTAATTTGTAATTTATTCCTGTGATATCATTGCTCCAGTCTTCAGTGTCACATGATCCTTCCGAAATCATTCTAATACACTGATTTGCTGCTTAAGAAACATTTCTTTTTATTATCAATGTTGAAAACAGTTGTGCTGCTTCATATTTTTTGTGTAAACCAGGATTCTAGATGAACAGAGTGAATAAAAAGAACAGCATTTATTTGAAATAAAAGTTTTTTGTAACCTTAAAATTGTCTTTACAGTCACTTTTGATTAATTTAATGCTGATAAGGTATAACCATTAGTCTATAACCAGTACTTATTCATCTATAAATGGTACGCATGGGCGTAGAATACGTAGGGGACATATTACACAAAACACCGTCCCTGAACGGTAGTGTATAACAATGTGTTTTTCTTCAAAAGTCACTAGCAATATTTAAAGTGTTGGATGCATGCTGTGGAGTTACAGTATAGTCCAGTGGAATATGACCTGCAATTGAATTCACTGCAGCGTTAAGAGACTTCAGACTTATTGACCGTGCAGAGGACAGGGTCATCCAGGGTCGCCAGGGACCAAGAAATGTCTTTGAGAGCATACCGAGCGCATAGATCAAGCCTGTCCACCCCCAGAAGAAGAAGAGTGTTTAAATGTTAAAGGATAAAGTTGTAATGATTTGTACAATATAGGTCTGACTGATGTTCATGTCACAGTGAACAAAACACAAGGTCAAGCATTTCTTAATGAACTTTGACCTTTGCCAGCAACATCCTAACAATGCTGCGGCAGGACACGGTCACTTCAAAAGGACTTTATCTAAAGGACTTGCATTACAATAAAGAGCTCTCTGAGAAACTGGAACAGATGTTCTCTTCTACATTCACTCTTTACAGAAGGCTCTTAAAGTTGTTTTGGCCCGTTTAAAGCCCATTTATAGTTCCATTTGCACTAATGCCGCATTTATTTTTGTTTTTTGAAGCAGAAATTAGGGAGAATAGACTCTACACTGTTTAAAAGAGCACTTTTTAATGAAAATACACCTCTGTTTTAGAGTCACCAATACAGCAGCTGAACTGAAATCTCATTTATTGTTCAGTTTTTAATCAAACTGCACTTTCAGGGGGAAAAAAGTGCAAAATTAGGAGTACAACAACTAGCCACTGGGGTAGTACCCTTAAAGGAACAACTTTGTACCTTATCTACCCTTTAAAGGTGCATTTTGTACTTTGGGGTAAGATGTAATCTTGAGGAACTACTACGAGCCTTTTAGGGTTAAATAAGACACAACATTGCCCCTTTGACAAGCTGTTGTACTCAAAAAGGTGCAATTTATGCACATAAATTGTACATAAATAACACATTGGTCGAGCATTTTGTTCTGAAAATATTGTAGGCTCTATAAATTGCTTCTGATGTTCCTCATTTGTAAGTCTCTTTGAATAAAAGCATCTACCAAATGAATACATGTAAATATGTGAATAGGTCCAATGTTTCTATTCAAAATATTGTCACAATGAACATTCAGGCTTAATGTGAATAGGTTTTAAGTATGTGAAAATACTGTTTGCAAATTCGAATCAAACTACAGTAAAAGCCTCCAAGCCAACACATTATTAACCTTGAATGAGGCTCCCGTTTGATCGGAATGTGCCTTTAGAAGGGGGCATCTTTTATTTAGGATTTTAATTCATAAAGGTATCATATATGGGTATGGGATAAACTAGTCCACATTATTTGGACTAGTCTTTATCAAAAATGGCTCTTTAATATACTTAAAACATACAAACATGTTTTGAAAGCACTTTCAGACTGATATATTTATAAGAATAATGTATATGGATAGTGGAGAGAAATGAACAAAGAGCAAAAAGCTTTTTCAGTTTTCTTAAACTCTTTATTCTCAGGCAGAGAAAACCTTGTGAAAAAGAATGATATTTTTACAATACTGTATTAGCAGATAAATATGAATGAATATTAATGAAATAACAGGCCACCTAAGTGTACTGTAAGTAGACTTTGTAATAATGTCAATTTAAAAGTTATACTTTGATGTACATTTTGAAGTACATACAAACATACTAAAGCCCATGTAAAGTACTTGATTATAATTTTATCAGTGCTAGTCAATATTACATTTAAAGTTAATATCTTTTAAATGTACTTAATTACAACTTAATCATTTCAAATGTGTAAAAACATATTTAAATAAACAATATACAAGTTTAAATAGAAATGGTAATTAAGTATATTTTATCATATACTATTACTATTTTATCATGTACCATAAATCCTTGTCAGTACATTCAACACTAAACATTACCATATTTTAAATACAGTAGAATTATGAAATTACATATAAACATGTACTTAAGTCCTGGGTGAGAAAAACATTCTAAAAGGCTTATTGCATTTAATATAATTTGCATTTAAACTGTAAACATTTTTGGACATACTTTATTTTAAGGTCCAGTTCTCCCTATTAACGAACCATTAACTATGACTTTTGCCTCAGTAAACTCCTAATTTGCTGCTTATTAAGGTAGTTGGGTAGGAATAGGGATTTAGAATATGGTCATGCAGAATATATGCTTTATAAGTATTAATAAACAGCCAATATGTTAATAATAGGCATGCTAATAAGCAACTAGTTAATAGTGAGAATTTGTCTCTATGCTAAAGTGTTACTGAAATTTTCATTTAATTACAATAAACATACAAGTAAGTGGTCAAAAGCATCCCATTAAAAGTACTGTATGCTTAAGTGTACTTCTGTTTCACAAGGGAAGTCAGGGAACAATAATAGTGATGATTTCTCCTTTCTTTTTCACTCTGCCTGTCCCTCTCACTTCCTGTCTATGACATGTCCAACTTTTTTAATGAGCATCATTATAGCTTCTACAGTGTGTGGAGATAGCATTAGCCAAGCATGGCAGGTCCTCAAAGAGAAATGGGTATTGACAGCGGGCTCGCCTCTGGGCTTGATGGGAGATGGCAGCGTCAGCGCCGGATGAAGTGAATAAATGGAAATCCAATGCTACAGCTGACAGGGTTGAGGATGCTCGGCCATCATCGGTCCCGTGCCACCTACACCAATATTAGAGAATAGCAAAACATGCTAGTGCAGGAAGCGGGAAGAGGAGAGAGAAAGAAGGGAACAATTCTCCACCGCCACCCCTCCCCCATGATCTCTCCATCCACGGCGCTAGAAGAAAAAAGGCTGAGACCGGAGAATAGCGCACAGGGCAATTGCAAATTAGCATTGTGTGCCTTTGCTCAAGGGCTGACAAAAGATAAGATCAAGACAAAAGTCTTGATCGCAGAGACATTGTTTTGCTCACTCCTTTTGATGAGTGGAATTAACTACAGCACAAAATGAAGCTTTAGATTTTGGAATTTTCCAATGAATTACATTTTAAGGACCTTATTAGCAAAACACAATGCAAAACAATGAGCAAACATCAAACGAACTGTCAGGAATGGATAAAT